TTTGGACCTGATCCAAACAGACCAGAGGAAAACCTACACAAAACCAATGTGCACAAAGACCTTATCCAAGAAAAAGAGACACAACAAACTTCTTTTGGTTTTTTTTAGACATTTAAAGCTTCTTTTGAGGCCCCTATTGTGTTTTCATGTCATTGCTTGGAGGACAGCTGTGAGTGTATTTGCACAAGCTAATCCATGTATTTAATTATATCATATTTTTCAAATTCAATATCATAATTACAGTTTAAACAAGCTCCAAAAGCAGTGTTGATTTTGCTGAAGTTGGTGCAATGCTATTGATATTACATGATGTGTTCTTAACAATCTGATGTTAAATAATGTGATTGTCCAACTAGCAGATACTGATGCTGTGCTGCCAATGGGCTTGCATTAAAACATGTTGTACTTTTCATGAATTTTTGTTCTGCTGACAGTGCAATCTGCTTCCATTCTAATATGAAAAAAATGATGTTATCGATTCTTGAAGGAGTGTTTTTCACCTCCTCGAACCACGGGGAGGTTCAAAAGGTCGGGGGTCAACAGAGCAACACAGCGTGTCTGGTACTAGTTGACATTCAGCATCTTGCTTAAGAACCGCAGGGGAAGCTTTTTAACACAAGATGCTAGAACCTGTACATATTGCAGGAAATGCTTGTTGACAGTTCAGTAGCGCTCTTTGCAATCGATCAGTGTGTGAAAAAATAATACTTTTGCCTGAGGTGACTCCCCATGTACCATGTTATCAGCATTGCCTCTATCTGACTCCGTGTCTGTCTCCCACACTCTCACTCTCTCGTCCCTTCATCTGTCATCTGTTAAGTTTTCTCTCATGTCTTTCCCCGGATCTGACTCCTGTCTTTTCCACCCACATTATATCTTTTCCCCGTCCCCTTCTAACCGCCCCATCGCCTAGTTTTCGCTGGCAATCAAAAATCAAAATTCATATTCAAGAGAGCTTAATTGGCATGACCTCGGAGTCTCCCTTTCTGCCCTCTGCGGGGTTTATAGCTTTCAATTATTTTCTTTTTCCTCTGTTGTTTAAAGTGATGTTTCATTAAGGGATTGTCGTTGCTGGTGCTCAGGCTTCAATCTCAGAGTTTTTTTTTAATCACATTACAAAAGCTGAATGGAAATGACACAGTCAATGAACTTTCCTCAGTATAAGAAAAAAAATAGATTGCCTACTTGGGAAAAGTCTTGTTGCTGAAGAAATGATGCAATGCTGCTGTAGAACTGTACTTTGTACTTTGTCAATTAAATATCTGTTCAATTACAAGTCACAGAAGCAGCATTTGTAGCATTTTTTAGATGCACCATTCGAGTAATGTTGATCAAAACGGGACTGTTTTCAGCTGATTGGCCATGACCGGTGACCGGACGGTCTGTCTCATATTTCTTATTTTTTTGTCGGTCGCATTTAATTACGCCGTGCAGCTGTCGCATGATAGTTTAGTCCTAGACTGTAAGGTCACAGCTCTACTCAGTTAATTATAACGCTATCATGAAGTGTTTAGATAAAATAATGTAAAATGTAGCTTTTGGCCAGAAACTTATAATAATTGAGTAATAATGACAATATAATATATGAAATAGATATTAGAGAGGTAATTATGACCTGTTTAACTTGGTAACAATCGCTCTACGCAGCTTATTGTCAGGATCCCTGTCAGACCAGACACCTCCCATGGCCACACAGCTGCAGCCACTCTAGCCGATTACCTCCTGCAGGCTGACACACCAGACTCGGGTCCCACTAACGCTTCCCCTGGCACTATATAAACTCTGGTCCTGCAGTCTGGGGTTGTCAGGTCGTACCGTCTTTCACCCGCTTCAACCCCGTTGCAGCTTCTGCCTCAAGCGCCTGCCTCCGGTGTCCGTCGGTCCGGGAATCCCCCGTGCCCTCCGTGGTGTTAACGGACTACACACCGCTGCTCTGCCCTCCGTGGTGTTAACGGACTACACACCGCTGCTCTGCCCTCCGTGGTGTTAACGGACTACACACCGCTGCTCTGCCCTCCGTGGTGTTAACGGACGACACACGTCGTCAAGCTGCCAGCCCTCCGGTGTCGAGCCACGGGACTCACACCGTCGATCTGCCTACTCTCTGGTGTCGGACCACGGGCTCCACACCTTCCTGTCTTCCTTACTCTGGCTAAATAAAGTCTGTTTCACTGTATTCTGTCTCCTGTGGTCTTGCTATTGGGTCCTAACCGTGAACTCCCGTGACACTTATAATACATAATAAAATTATGATGCAAAGTTTGTATTTCTTACCCATTTAAATGATGGGTTTGTATGCACATAACTACTATAGATGACAAACAAAGTAAAAGCATAACGTTTAGATTGTTTAATTTAATTTAGTGATTTTGGGCCACTTCAACTCATTTTTTGGGAAAGTTCCAGGATGGTGGTAAAAAAAAAAGGTTAAGTTAATCTGGTGCCTTGCTGCCAATTATAGTTCTAAGAAACAAAATCGGCAAAAATTGGAATCAGCAGGTCAGATTTGAAAAAATAATCAGTCATCAATTACGCTGATTACTGCGGAATTCACAATCAAATCGGTTTTCTTTTGATCTTTAAATGAATATTTCAAAGAAAACACGTGATATGTTCTACATTTATTTGCCTCAAAGGGTTTAATAACAGCTTAACTAACAAACTACTTTCTGAACGAGCTCTTGCCATGATTGCTCATCTGTCCCTCCGCCCCGTCTTGCTCCACCCCGTCTCATTCCCCTGTCTGTCCTTCGATAATGTCTCCGTGTCTTTCTCTCGCTCGTCTGGCTCTCTTTCACTGTCCATTTTCTCCTCCTTCCGGACAACATTGACTTTGTTACGCACGACACCTTGTAGCTATTCGTTTCACGCAGTCCGTGGATGATTTCTGACGTTGTTTCTCGTCTTTGTTCGGCTGTGCGCTGCTGTCATTAATTATGAAGTCACAAATGGATTTCCTATACACTCCATGTCAGGCGCACACACTCAAGTACAAACGTAGACAGTGTGTGCCTTCCTAACAAGAAAGTTCACCGTCAGTCTATCCCTCTCTACTGACTGTGTGTGTGTGTGTTGCGCGCTCTCTTGGCACATACCCAAAGGAATCTTGTCAATCAAACCGGCTTGCAATTAGTCAGAGAAACAAGGCACGTTCCAAGACAGGCAGATGTATATATGCATGTCTCTGTGTGAGTTTAAGAGTATATATATATAGTGTGTGTGTGTGCATACCGGTAATACGTTTGCTGCTCTTATGTGCTCATGCATCTGTGGTATGATATCTTATGACATATGTCGGAAACAGTTTCGTGTGGATGCGGCAGCTGATTTTATGTAGCATCAAAAGAAAAGCAGCGCACACACACACACACACACGCACACAATTCTTCCCAGAGACCAAACTGGCAGCTATTTTTCTTCTACTCCTGTCATTCATTCCTCACTCTATCCATATGTTATTCCCTGAAGTGTTTCCCTTTCATTTTTTATTTGTTGTCCTCTTTACTCTGCTTGCTCACTTTACCGTTCTTCCTTTCTGCTTTCCTGCAGGGCACAACATATGTATGTCATACTAGATAAGGAGTGATCAGTAGAGGTCTGTTGGAACAAGTTTAACTTGATTTTCAACTATCTGTTTTTTTTAAACAGATAATTAGTCTTATTAAAATAAAATAAGTGATATAAAATCCCTTTATAGCTAATTATTGCTTCTGAATTCGAATGAATTGCTTTTCGCAATCATTTTGAGGACAGAAAAAGTAGGTTTTAACCATCAAGCGCTTTTTCCTGCACTCTTCCCCATCAAACATCAATTGTTATTCCTCCTGACTTTCATTCTCAGTCTGCCTCTTTCCGTTTGCCTTCCACGCCGCTCTATTTTCTCAATTTCTTCCCGTCTTTGTCCACTTCTCCCTTTTTTGTTTTTCTTTCCATCTCCCTCTTTCACTTACCTTCTCTGCAGTTTTCACCTAATCCCCAAAGACAACATTCCTTATTCCTAAGCCATTTATGCTCCTTTTGTGTTTGTGTGTGTGTGTGTGCGTGCGCGTGTGGGTATGACCCTCATGACATAGTGATGTGCGTCACCGGGGACTTATCGACTTCCTTAAACTCTTTCTTTGGGTCAGCTGACTTAAACAGCGCGACCCCATTGGCTGATAAGCCAAGGCAACTCTTCACTAAAAGTCAAGTGACAAATTGACTTCCCTGTTAAACACTCACACACACACACACACACGCACTCACACATGGTCTAATTTGTGGTCATGCATCTTGTGTGAACTCTCAGAAGAGCAGTCACTGCATTATGTGGGTCTTCTGTAGCTTCTCTTCTCTCCCTCAAAACCCCGGTGCATAAGACATTTGAAACTCGCTCATGATCATCCGCTGACCTGACTGGCTCCTTTGTTGAACCCTTGTTTGTTAGGGACGTAGCCAAAATATCAGCGCCATGCAGTGAGGGATCAGCTATCGTTCCTCAGTTTGTGAGAGAGGAAAAGTGAATCCCGAATACTCTTTCTCACAGGTACATTTACACTTTTCCGCTTCACCTTTGACCTCACAGACCAAATGGCACACAGGAAAAAGCGCGGCTTACACCCAGGAACACCCAGTAAGTCTTACCCTAACTCCACAAGTGGTCAACTAAATCACAATAACAACAACTTAGCTTAGAAAGCAGCATAAAATCAAGTCCATGCAAACAAGGATCATCACTGGCTTTGTCGATACGGGGAAACATTGAGAGAGGACATTTTGAGCACAGCAGATGTGAAATGATTTCCGTTGAGTCGGACAGTAGTTTGAGAGAGGTTGGGAAAAAGTACAGGGAAGTTGAGTTGAGGAAGAGAAGAGAAAAGTAGGATAAATTAGAGCCAAACAGTGTTCACTTTCTGAGATCCCAGAAGAGCACGAGGACCAGTTGAGATGAAAGGAGCAGAGTAGGCCTCCGCTGAGAAGAGCTACAGTATCATGAAGGAGAAGATAAAATGCATACTCACCAAGCTGACTGCGTCTCTGCGCGTACGCCACCACCACCGCGGCCAGGACTACGCAGCACAGCGATGTCACAAGGTTTGCCATCTGTGGACACACACACAGCAGAATCATCAGCGTGAGCACGTGCGAGGGGCAGAGAGCCGGCGAGCGAGCGTGTCCGCCTGTCGTCTGTGATTGACTGACAGACCCATAGACGCCTACAACGCCGTGGAGGAGATGGAGGGATAGCTGCTTCCTGTCCTCTCCCCGTGTCTCTCAGTGTCTCTCTGTCTCCTTTCACGACTACTTCCCTTTCTGTGGACCTTTTCCTCTGTCCTTTGCCGTTTCCCTCCTACTCGTCTAACTCCGTTATTTCTTTACTCCTCTCACTGGTGTTATCCTTTTCACTGTATAACCTTTCTCTCTCTCTCTCTGTTTATGTGTCTCCCTCTCTCCCTTTCCCTCTGTTCATCAGCCTAATGGGTCCATCCTCCCTGGGATGGGCTATGGCCAGCAGCTCTTAAAGGTATAGCACTCCATAAACAAACGGTCGGCCTTCATGTACAACAACAATGCCTCACGGGCATCCCCGCCGCCTCATTGTTGCCTCGCATGAAGCGTTTACAACCTGAAGTTCAACACTGAAGTATTTGAGGTTAAGATGGAAGAGGTGAAAGGCGCTCTCATCACTTGCTTTTCTCATACTTTCATCTCTTGACATTGTTGTTCCCCATCTCAGTGCACTCCTTCTGATCGTCATTTCCTTGCGTTGTAAACATCCATTCCTTTTTCTATTTTAAAAGGAATAGTTCAACATGTTGGCGAGCGGGATGAGATGATAGCTTAACGTTTGTTAAAGGAAAAGATCCAGATTTTGAGACATATTCATTGGCCTTTCTTGCCGAGATGAGAAGGTGAATGCCATGCTCACGTCAGCGGCTAACTTAGCTTAGCATAAAGACTGGAAGTCTCCTAGTCAAGATCGCAGTAAAAAACAGTCACAAAACGTGCAGGTTAATGAGTTAATGAGTTAATGAGTTGAGAAAGTGCCTTTTTTACTAGGAGGTAAAAGGTTAGAGGTCAGGGTCAGCTTTAACATTACTACACTATTAGAGCTCGTAAGGATTCACCGTCGTGTTCAAGGACACTTGAGCAGGGCGGATGGCAAAAAAAAGGGGGGGCCTGAACCCAGATCCTCCCATTAAAAGGTGAACCCCTGTCTTCTCTCTCTGGGCTCTTCCTCTGTCTGTAAGAGAGCAACTATCTCTCCTCTCTGAGCAAAGGTCGTCTAAGGGTCTGCCTGCTGCTGAGACTTGCGGTGAGTAAGGTGTCCGTGTCTGCATGTGTTAGAACAGAGTGAGCGCTCTAAATAGAAGCAAAGAAAGGGAAGCGATTTTCCTTGTTCTTTTGAGGCACGACTCCAGCTGTTACAAACCACTGTCATCTGCCATTACCTCTTGGTCTTGGTTCACCATTTTCATTTATCTTACTCACTTCTACTTGTCATTCTCTCTTCCACTTTTTCAATTCTCTTCTTTTCCTGAAATCACTCTGACTCATCCTCACTCTCTCCATTTCCCTCTCGCAAAATTCTGTCCTTCGCTCTTTCCGTTTGTCTTCGTCAAAGTTGAGCATGAACTTCACTACGCCATGTTTAAGCGTCTCAGAAAGGTGAAACATATCAAGTACTGCCGAGCGACATTCAAGGACATGAAAAAGCTTTTACAGTACCACTAACATCGTCACAAGGCAATGAAACAGTCAAAGACATTGGACATACGAGATGTTTTCATGAAAAAATGAGAAGCTTTTCCACCCACACAGCTTATTACATATTCTTACACTGCAGAAGTAACTGTGTCAACTTTCACATGTAAGATAATCATTAAGTGAAGAACACTGGGGTTTTTACATAAAATCTATATGAACATAGATTATGTGCTTTGTTTGGTTTTTGTATGTCAAAGCAACACAACAGGGAAGGTTATTCTCATTAGAATTAGCATTATTATAATCGCACTGAAAGAGTGTTTGGAAAGTCGAAAACTAACATGAGAGACAGAAGACGAGGAGTCCACAAGGGGTACACTGCCACTGTTGCCTATGCTGTAGCCTTTCTACAAAGACCATGGTTGCTTCTGAAATTCCATACCAACATGCTATTTAGTATGCTAAAACAGGATATGAGATTATTTGAATGAGTCCAAAGCCTTAGTACGAAACCAATAGTATGAGAATTGCATGCTATTACCGGTGAAATATGATAAATGGACTGTACTTTTCTAGTCTTCTGACCACTCAAAGCACTTTAACACTACATGTCAACAGTCACCCATTCATAGACTGAAGGTAAGGGCTACCATGCATGGTGGCCATCAGGACTATCTAACCATTTACACACCACAGGCACAGCTTGCGGGTTAAGTGTCTTGCCCAAGGACACATGGACAAGGAACAGCGAAGCCGGGAATCGAACCGTCGATCTTCTGATTGAAGGACAACCCTGCTCTACCACTGAGCCACCGTCTGCAAACACTATGCCGGCATAAATGTCCCACAACGCATTGCGATGGTGACAACATCGTTCAAAACAGACAGTGGCGGACAGCTTTGTAATGCATATAACGCTTCAATGTAAGTGTGAGCTAATAAAACCAGGATTACCATGAATTAAGTTTGATTTGAAGCGCAAATACTTCAATTTAAACTGTTTATCGTAATTTACTGACGTGATTCTTTTAAATACACTAGATTATGTCGATATGTGTTTAGCGGAGAAACAATTTATCTTAAAAGCAAACCATCTCTGAGGAAGAAAAAGATAAATTACCAACCATACCGCATCATTTTAGTCCTCAGCTTTCTCTTCCCAGTTTTAATTGGTCTGAGCGTTTGTATTGGCAGCTCTTTGGAGTCAGTTTTTGACTTTTCAGTATAATAACTGAAAGTTTGCATGAATGCATATTATTGAGGGTTAGATTGTGTGTGTGGGCGTGCATGTGTGTCTATGTGTGAGTGATTGGCAGCTCATATGTATTTCATCTGAGAAGATATTGGGGAGAGTGACAGGGGGTGAAATTAAAATTGCATCCCTTGTCAGAGCATCACAATCCCCATCTCTGCTCTTCAAGTGCTGGTTTCAAAATCCAAATGATGCGTGTGTGTATGTGTGTGTGTGTGTGTGTGTGTTTGCATGCATTTGCAATTCTCTGGGTGCAAAAGCTCTGGTATAGGCGTGTGTGTGTGTGCGTGTGTGTCTGTGCATGAAACTGTGGGGGTATTTAGCCCGTCTATCAGCAAACAATACAGTTTTGAAATCTGACAGCTTCAGATCGCTCATATAATGACAGCCCACGGGCGGTTAGCGCTGCAATCACACAAACTCAATACAAACCCTCCTGCCTTTATCCATCCATCCACCCCTCCCGACCCTCGCATTCACTCCCTTCTTCTTCTTCTACTTCTTCTTCTTCTTCTTCTTCTTCTTCTTCTTCTTCTCCTCCATCCATATTTATTTATTCATTTCTTGTTGGAGAGGAAAGGGCTGAATAGGCGTGATTCTTTCGGCTGCTTAATTAAAATATATAATTCATCGCCGCGTCAAATGATTTTGCCTCTGCGTCTTTGTGGAGTCCGATTTGGGAACATTTGCATTTAAATTGGAAAGCCAGGAGGGAAATACACTAGGCGGGCCAGGGTGTGTGTGTGTGTGTGAGAGAAAATAGAAGGCACCAGTCCTCCTCTTAAAGAAATGCACATATGTACTCTCTTTCTTGCTTTCTTTCTCTCACAATGGGAAACGTTCAAAAGAAAATCGGTTGGCCAAATGGCACCAGAGAACATCCTGTAATGGGAAACTTGGAGGTCTGTCCATTGAAATAACAGCTTTGTGTCCGCGAACAGTCATATGTTCAATCAGTAAGTTTCCTCTTTCTCCCACAAAACGCCCAAATCCCCCCTCTGACAGCCAACTGCCACGAATAGAACAGTTCATCACTAACGTCTCTGCAGAGAGAATAAAGCAAAGCATCCTCCTGGGCAATAAATGAGCTCTCTGATTTATAGCAAGACTAGAGTTTACGGCCCTCAGGAACATCAACCACAGCTATCAAATACACAAGAGAGGCTAACAATAGCTGACTTGAATTGTTGTCCATTATGTTCATCAGCAGGAAAAGGAGTTTTCTGTCAAAGTGAGATATCCATCATGTAAGAAAAATGACACCTGCTCTGACAAACCGATATCAAAACAAATGATTTAATTTTAAAGGTCATCTCATTCAGTAACTCCTTTAGGGTATGTACTCGATGCAGATTTATGGATGTTACGGGCAGTTAAAGTGTATATGATGCTGAGACAGTGGAGCATTATCCTGCTGGGACGTAATTGGAGGTCGCCCGTTTTTATGATACTGAAACCAGTGTGTCTGGCACCATAGAGCACGTTAAAAGTCTGTAAAATGACACCTTTTTCTGCCTGCTTGCTTTATGTACTGACTCACAGCAGCACAATTCCCCATCTGCAGTAAAGGGCCTTGCATAGAAAACAGGAACAAGTGCCTAATACAGCAACCAGACACTAGCACAAAACAACCATACATACAACACTTCTCCTGGAGCTAAAACATAAAAGCCTCCTAAAGGCGTCGTCCCTTTAAATCCAAAAGTTTTTTTTAAAGACGATTTATTTAGAACAATGTCTTAAATGAAACATAATCAAAGAGGAAGCTTGCCTAGGACAAGGAGAAAGGTTGAATAAGTCTTCATACTTTCAGGGAGAATATTATAATTTCCTCATTATGAAGAGTAAAAACCTTGAAACTCCAAGGAAAGGCATCTGGTACAGAGGGTACACTTGTACATCAGAGGGATCCTCACAGCAGAAATAAGCCTCCTGTTATGTGCACCACTCAATGAACTTACTTTTGACATGTGTGTCCTATCTCGGGGCAATGACACAGAAGTAAAGTTTTATTTTCTTCTTTTTCTTCCAAGGTATTGTTGACACGGTATTTTGTCAGTAGATTTTCTTTTTTTCTAAGTTCTCACTCCTTTAATAATGATAATACTGATAATGACGAAAATAATAAATTAAGTGATACTGTGAAAGCATGAGAATAAGTGATACTGTGAAAGCGTGATATTTTCTCATACCGTTACAAGCCTAATTATATGAATAAATTACTCTTATTGGCTTTTTTTCCACACAGTGCTTTTGTTGCACTTGCAGTGGTGTGCCAGATGTGGTTGTCGCGTCGGCTCTCCACCGCTGTCTGTCCGTGCTACTGACGGTGTAATAAAGTGCACCATAGATGACGGCAAGACGTTTGGGACACGGACCTGAAATTAAAACTAATTAGAGAACATGAATAAACAGTTGCATCATGCGTTTTGCTGTCATTTATAGTATGTGGTGTTCTGCTGCTTTTAATGATGAAAAGAAAATGGTCTTGTTTTGGTATTTTGGTATTAA